TGGAAGTTGCAGCGAGCCAAGATCATGCCACTGCACTCCAGCCTGGGTGACAGAGCAAGATTCCGTTTCAAAAAAAAAAAAAAAGGTTATATCTAAAAATAAGAAATTTTTCATTTTTTGAATAGATCTTAGAAATTTATTACTGAAATAACTGACTTTACAGTCTGGGACAGACTGAACTATGATACTAAATATCTTCTGACTTTGAAAGACTAATTGTACCTTAATTTTGAAAAATATAACTATGTCAGCTTTAATGAAGAATTTTGGCCAGATGTGGTGGCTCATTCCTATAATCCCAGCACTTTGGGAGCCCGAGGTGGGCAGGTCACAAGATCAAGAGATCAAGATGATCCTAGCTAACAAGGTGAAACACTGTCTCTACTAAAAACACAAAAATTAGCTGGGCGTGATGGCACCTACCTGTAGTCCCAGCTACTCAGGAGGCTGAGGCAGGAGAATTGCTTGAACCCGGGAGGCAGAGGTTGCAGTGAGCCAAGACTGCACCACTGCACTCTAGCCTGGCAACAGAGCAAGACTCTATATGAAAAAAATAATAATAAATAAATAAAGAATTTTACCATCTGTAGTATTTGGCAAAATACCAGAACAGTTTCAGACACTAAGAACAGAAATAACTTTTTTAGTTCTCACTAAGAACTCTTCTCACAGACTCACCCAAAGCTACTCTCAAGAATCAGTCCTTCAGAGTCTCAATCCAGAAATGATCGGGGTCATCTCCTCTATCAGATAATTCTTCCTAAAATAGTCTTCAAATTGGTCATTTGCTCCTCAGAAATATACAGTGAATATGTCCAGCATCATATCCAAACTCCTATAGTCTTAGAAACCACTCAAAGTCTTTGACTGTAGCTTTCATTTCAAATATTTTTATTTTATCCTACCAGGAGCCCTCTACACCAGCAAGGCCAGTCTCTCTACAGGTCCCTACAGATGCTAGATTCACTCTTCCTCTGAGCCTTTTGCTCCTCCATTACTCTTGGCCTTGCCTTCCGAGAGTCCTTCATTTCCAGGTATTATTACATCTATCTTTAAGAGTTGGATAATTTCTTTTTGCGCTAAGTTCTTAGAATACAACGTCAGGTACTTCATCGGGCTTCTATTTATGAAGGAAGAAATCTCATCATATACACACACATACACTTATGATGACATATCATGACCAAGCAGAATTTCAGGAATGAAACACTAGGTAACACCAAAATTCAGACAATTTAATTATCTATTAAAAGAATGAAGAGAAAAACAAAATGATCATTTCAACCAAAGCAGAAAATGGATATGACAATATACTATTTCCTTTTGTGATGAAAACTCACATTACACTAGGAATATGAGGGAATGTCCTTATTCTGATAACAGGGATCCACAAACAATTTTTTTGGCAGTGGGGTGAGTGGGGACAGAATCTGGCTCTGTTGCCCAAGCTGGAGTGCAGTGGTGGGATCACAGCTCACTGCAGCCTTAACCTCCTGAAGCTCAAGCAATTCTCTTACCTCAGCCTCCGAAGTAGCTAGGACTATAGATGTGCACCACTATGCCTGGCTAATTTTGTTTTTGTTGTTGTTGCTCAGGCTGGTCTTGAATTCCCGGGCTCAAGCAAGTCTCTTGCTTTGGCCTCCCAAAGTGCTAGGATTACAGGTGTGAGCCACCATGACCAGCCTGCAAATAGATTAAAGCTAACATAATACTAAATAGAGAAATACTTATCATTTCTATTCAACACTGTACTGGCCTATACTATATAGTGCTATAATGTAAGAAAAATAAATAAAATGTATTATGATTTGAAAAGAGAAATAGCATGGAAATTATTTAGATGATTGTGTATGCAGAATATTCAAAAGAATCTACAAATGAGCTATTAGAAATAAGAGAATTTAGTTAGGTTGCTGGACACAAAGTCAATATACAAAAACCAATTGTACTAATATACCAGCAACAAACAGGAATGAAGTTTTAATATACAATTTGCAATAATATAGTCATGCCTGTATATCTGCAATAATACACATCATGCCACCTTGCCACTGCACAAGCTTTTCCCCAATTTGGAATGCCTTTCCATCTACCTCCACATGCCTGTTGAACTCTGACATTTCCAGTCTCTTCAGATTTGCCAATTTTTAAAAAACATTTTCTCTCCCTCCCTGAGTACTTTTCAAACTTTAATTCACCAGCAAATTTTTTTCTTATAATTACAAAAAAATAGTAACGATCAAATATATAAAAGTAATAAACATGGAGCTTTCTTATTGAAAGGAAATAAGAGCCTTGACTTCCCAAAAAATCTCCGGGGAAAGACTGAAATGCATTAATTTGACTATTATTATTATTTTTGGAGAGTAACTCCTGCTCTGTTGCCTAGGCTGTAGTATAGTGGTGTGATCTTGGCTCACTGCAACCTCTGCCTCCTGGGTTCAAGCGATTCTCCTGTCTCAGCCTCCCTAGTAGCTGGGACTACAGGTGTGTGCCACCATGCCCAGCTAATTTTTTGTATTTCAGCAGAGAAGGGGTTTCATTGTGTTGCCCAGGCTGGTCTTGAACTCCTGAGCTCAGGCAATCTGCCTGCCTTGGCCTCCCCAAGTGCTAGGATTACAGGCGCAAGCCACTACATCCAGCCATATTATTATTATTAAGCACCCAAATATCCAAATTGCTATTCTTAGCAACAACTTAAAAAATGAAGTATTTCTCCTATCTTACAGAAAATGAGTCAGCAGGCAGAAATTCCTTCACCTCCAAATCAAACTTATCTGTATTCCCATCTTTATGTGGGCTTTTCCCCCACCTGAAGTTAGGTTAATTCCTTCACCTGTGCTATGACTCGAATGTCTTTCAGAAAATTTGTTCCTCCCAGCGATGTCATCTTTAATCCACTCTCAACATGTGTATAATCATTAAAATAGAAATGCTCCCTAAGTCATTCTTCCCTTCAGTTACACTTGAAATACTGGCTGTAACAGCCTACTTGTGCACTCTACTTCAGTGAAATTTCTCTTGCCAGTCTCCAAAATCTCCTTATTTATCAATTTACTCTTAGACTTGATTTATAGCACCTGACACTACTGCCATCTGAGATTCATTTATCCCTTGGGCTCAGTGACGTCACTCTTCTGCCTTTTCTCCTACATAAAGGGCCATTCCTTTTCATCTTTGCACAATTGCTTCATCAACTTCTTGTATACTGATATTTTCCTGGGTTGTATCCATGATCCCTTTCTCATTCTAATCTATACATTCTCATGGCCAATTTATATGTGCCATGCTTTTCACTACTAACTATATCTTAATTACTCCTAAGCCATCCAGCTCACACTGCCCTTTTAGATTTGGCTAATTTTATTTTTTTTTTGAGACAGTCTTGCTCTGTCGCCCAGGCTGAAGTGCAGTGGCATGATCTCAGCTCACTGCAACCTCTGCCGCCCAGCTTCAAGCAATTCTCCTGTCTCAGCCTCCTGAGTAGTTGGGACTACATGCACCCACACCTGGCTAATTTTTGTATTTTTAGTAAAGACAGGGTTTCACCATATTGATGAGGCTGATCTCGAACTCGACCTCAGGTGACCCACCTGCCTTGGCCTCCCAAAGTGCTGGGATTATAGGCATGAACCACCGTGCCTGGCCTGGATGACTAATTTGACACGTATAAAATCAAACTGTTTACCCCTACACTGCCTACAAGGCGTATCACACCACCATCCATCAAGGTAACTAAGAAACCTAGCAGTTAATCTACCGTGTGTCAATCACCTTCCCCATTTATTTGACTGCAAAAACGATGCCCTATCTATTCTTACAACATTAGTATTTGCAACATGTTCTTCACTGACTACCCTTGCTTGAGCTTAGAGCCTCCTTCACCAATCATTGGAGGTTGAATTCTAGGCTTCAGTCTGTTCAGGTGTCTTCAATCTCCTAACTTCATCCTCCATACATTGATGCAATACAGTTTCCATCACTTAAAATCGTTACTTGGTACCCTAAATTTCAGAATAAAAGTCAAATTCCGTAGTTTGGCAAGTAAGACCTTTTGTTACCTAAGCGACTGCCTTCTCAAGCTTCGGTATCTTTTTCTTACTTTCTATAGATTCTCTAAAAATGTAACATGCTGTCACCCACCCACCTACACCTTTGTCTACGTGGTTCCCTCTATTTAGAATCTCACTTTATGAAGAATACCTATTATTCTTTCAAAACTGGGCTCAGGCATTGTGGTCTCTGGGACACTATTGCTGGTCTCTCCTGGTTCACTTGGTTAATCTCCCTTCCTTATTTCTGCCTCCCATGCACATCTCTCCATTTGTAATCTGCAACACAGCATCATAGCTTACCTATTTATCCATGAAAACCCCTTTAACACATTATAATTTGTTTACTCCCTTTAATCTCTTCTCCACCCACACAATTCATGACTTAACGTTAAGTTCTGTTTCTTTCGTCTATGTAATTTCTAGAGCTCAGGATAGTATCTGGCCCAAACTCAGGCTCAAATAAACATTACTGAGTAAACCAGTTTTGAAATTTACAATTATTTTTTAAAAATTTCCTTTGCACTCTGAAACTTTTAAAAACTAGAAAACCCCATGAGGAAAACAATCTTTTATTTCATAAACTGGTACCTTTTGAAGACTGTCACAGGTGATAAGTTCTTTAAACAGGTAGGATTTCATCTGCAGCCAACTAAAAAATATTAATAGCTTTAGCCTTGAAGTGATTGTCTAAACAACCAAAATGCTTCAACCTAAATTATCTAATATTACTGTTCAGAGCCTAGCAAGTATGGTTTCATATGACGACCTCAAGACAATAAAGAAAAATTTCTGAAAAAACTAGGAAATGTGTATAAAATATGGGAGGCTATTTAGATGTTGTTTGGAAATAAATAGAACGAGAACAGATTTTTTTCTCTTTTTTAATAAAAGCCATGCACAAAGTTTGACACTAGGTCAGGAAAAGGTAAATTCCAGACACTGAGAGGTAGTTCAGTTAGTTTTTATCTCTTATTTGGTCCTTTGCTCTAACAATCAGCAAACACACACACACGCGCGCGCGCAATATTCAAAAAATGTTTATGAATTATTGCAGTATTTGCAATAGTTGCACATGGTGACTGAGAAATATTTTACAATATTATTTTTCCCCCAGGGGAAAGCATGAGCACAGTCCCCCACTATCATAGATTATGCAGTTGAGTTTCCCACATTTGGGGAAATCACAGGGGTCAACACATCTGCAGTACAATGGATAAGCTTGCTTTGGGAAAACCACCTTTGTGATCATGGTATCTCCCCTGCCAGGTAAGCGTATGTTGCATGCACGTGTGTGTGTGTGTGTGTGTGTGTGTGTGTAATTTTTTATTTTTTGAGACAAGAGTTTTGCTCTCTTGCCCAAGCTGGAGTGCAGGGGCGCAATCACAGCTCACTGAAACCTCTGCCTCCTGGGTTCAAGCAATTCTGTCTCAGCCTCCTGAGTAGCTAAGATTACAGGCATGTGCCATCACACCCAACTAATTTTTTATTTTTAATGGAGATGGGGTTTTTACCATGTTGGCCGGGCTGGTCTTGAACTCCTACCCTCAGATGATCTGCCCACCTCGGCCTCCCAAAGTGATGGGATGATGGGCATGAGCCACCGTGCCTGGCCTAATTGCATATATTTTTAAGATCAATTATTTTGTTTGCTATTAAAATGTTTGCTGTAATAAATATGCTTATTTTTATACAATAGTAGCTTATACAGTTGTTTTTCTAATGAAAACTCCAGCACCTCAGCACCGAGTTTTCTCATTCTTGCATATCATAGATAGCATATAATGCTAATAAAGAGATTTTTAAAACATACCTTTTTTATCTTACAAATGGCCAACTTCAATGTCTGCAACAGTGAATTGTCTTGGTATATTTTTTAAAGTAGGTGAAAAGTATGAAAGGTTTCCCCATATGTATTACATAGCTAAAGTTTATTCTTAAAACTTGATATCTGATGAGAACTAAAAGTTTTCTCTATTTCATTCTCAAGCATGTATTCTCTGATGAGTTTTGGTTTAAGGCTTTTACACATGCAAATCAGCTTTTAAGGAGTCCTCTTCAATGTGAATTTTATAATGATTAGTGAGGGATGACCTCTGGCTAAAGAGTTTTCCACATGAATTACATTCATAGGGTTTCTCTCCAGTGTGAATTCTTTGATGTGCAATAAGTGATGAGCTTTGTCTAAAACTTTTCCCACATGTATTACATTTAAAAGGTTTTTCTCCTGTATGAATCCTCTGATGTTGTATAAGAGCTGCACTTTGGCCAAAAGACATCCCACATTCTAAACATTGATATGGTTTCTCTCCAGTATGAATTCTCTGGTGATTACTAAGGGATGAGTTACACCTGAATGTTTTGTCACATTCGTTACACTTATAGGGTCTTTCTCCAGTATGCATTCTCTGATGTTGAATGAGAGCTGAACTCTGTCTGAAGGCTTTTCCACATACTTTACATTTACATGGTTTCTCTCCAGTATGAATTCGTTCATGAATAATAAGCGTTGAGTGGGAACTTAAGGCTTTACCACATTCATTACAATTATACAATTTCTCTCCAGTATGAATTATTCGGTGTCTATTAAGTCGTGAAATAGAAGTGAAGCCTTTCCCACATTCATTGCATCTATAGGGCTTTTCTCCAGTGTGAATTCTTTCATGTTGAATAAGAGATGCACTCTGACTGAAGGCTCTCCCACATTCACTACATTTAAAAGGTTTCTCTCCAGTGTGAATTCTCTGATGATAACGAAGGGATGAGCTAGACTTAAAGGTGTTGCCACATTCATTACATAAGTAGGACTTCTTTCTGAGATAAACTTTCTGACATCCAGAAAGGGATGTGCTGTGACTGGATGGCTTCCTACCTGGATTATATCTATGGGGATTTTCTCGAGCATGGATTTTTTGATGTATAAAAAGGCCAGACCTTCGACTGAAGGATTTGCCACATTCTTTACATCTATAGCATTTCTCCACAGTATGGGTTCTTAGATGCTTACAAAGGGATGCACTATGGCTGAAGGCTTTCCCACATTCTTTACATAAGTAGGGTTTCTCTCCTGTATGAGTTCTTTGATGCTGAATAAGAGCAGAACTTTGGCTGAAGGCTTTTAAACATTCTTTACATTTAAATAATTTTTCTCCAGTGTGGTTTTTCTGATGTTTACGAAGAGATGAATTGTGAATGAAGGCTTTTTCACATGTACTGCATTTATAGCGTTTTTCTGCTGTCTTGATTTTTGATTGGTTAAGTAAATTTGAATTCTGCTTGAAACTATTTCTTTGTATTTCACATTTTGACAGAGTTTTCTCTCTAGCAAATCTCTGTTGCTTGATGAACACTGATTTTATGTAGAGGTTTTGACCAAATTCAACATTTTTATGGCTTCTGTCTACAGTGAGGATTTTTGTATGGGTAATTGAAATTATTTGTACATTTTCATTTTTGTCTTGCTGTTTCTTTAATTTCTCTTCATATATGCAGGGTCTTTCTGATATGAAGTTCCAGGGTTCATCCCTTTTCAGTCTTTTCCTCATCAGCTCCTGAAATGAATCCTGAGTTTGAGTTGTCTTTGTCATTTTAGGATTGCTCTTACATCCTGAAAAACAAAAAAAGAAAGCAATTGCCAATGATTCATGTGACTGGCTGAGACTAAATGTGTAGAAGGAAGATTAATGATATCTCAAGAAGGGTTTGCTTTTGACTAAAAGACAGTAAGAAGACAAAATTTTTAAAAACACTACATAAAATAATGGATGACAGCTGAACTGGTAAGTGAACAAAAAAATAAAGCAAACTCATTTTTAGGTGGGTGAGTGTGTAAGAGTGACCAAGAAAATGGAGTGACGGGATTAGAGGAGGAAGAGGCATATGAATTTAGGAAACAGTTTGGTACCCAAAGCCTATCATGGGCTCATAAATTACCCCATTCCTATGATTATGTATACTCCTGAATGTCTTTCCTCCTTTTCCTACATTCCAAACTCCTTTGTATCCTTCAGATTCAATGTGTACCTTTTCCTAACAACTCATTCCCCTTATTATAGCACTTACTATAGAATATTAAATGCATATAAGTAAGAAATAATATACAACTAGAGATGCTGAGAAAATCTTCAACAAAATTTAGCACCATTGACAATAAAAACACTCAAGCAAAAATGAACTGAGGGATACTTCCTCAACATGATAAAATACATAGACCTTTGTCGTAAAGCTACTATCTTATTAAATATACTAGAGGTATTTCTACTATGCTCAAGAACAAGACAAAGACGTCCATTACTTTCCCTACAATTTAACAGTATATTAGACATATTAACCAATGCAATCAGATACCATAAATCAATTAGAGACGAGTTAAGAGAAAGTAAAACTACCTCTATTTGCTGACAATATAATATTAAAAAGTGTAGAGAATGAATGATAAAAATCATTCAGTGAAGTAACTGGATATAAAATTGACACATTAAAATCACAAAAATTCGTTTACACAAAGGATCAGAGTAGTAAATATACAAGTCATATAAAAAGCCTATATGAGGGAAATTTTTTATCAGTCTTAAATGACATTAAAGTATATCTGATGGATGACATTAAAAGTATATCTGAAGAAATAATCACCTCTCCTATTCCTGGATGTAACAACTTAACATTATAAAAATGTCACTGCATTAAGACAGGATATAGATAGGATTTCTCAACCTCAGATTACATTTTGGGCTAGATAATTTAGTTGTGTAGATAGTGTGGGCTTCCCTGTGTATTGTGGAATGTTGAGCAGCATACTTGATATCTCTACCCAATAGATATCAGTAGCACCTCCCCCTCACAACTCCTCCCTCCAGAATGAGACAAGCAAAAATGTTTCAAGACACTGACAAATGACAGAATCACTCCTGGTAGATAATCATTGGATTAGATGAATACAAAAATGATCATGAATTCACAGCTGCTGAAACTGGATGATGGGCTGGGTAATCCCAGCAATTTGGGAGGCCAAGACAACAGGATCCCTTGAGCCCAGGAGTTTGAGATCAGCCTGGGCAATACAGTGAGATCCTGTCTCTAAAACAAACTAACTAAGTAACTTAGCTGGGCACAGTGGCACTCCTCTGAAGTCCTAACTACACGAAAGGCTGAGGCAGGAGGATCACTTGAGCCAAGGAGGCTACAATGAGCCATGATTATGTAATTGCAATCCAGCCTGGGTGACAGTGAGAGATCCTGTCAAGACAGAAAAAAAGACAGAAAGAAGGACGGAAGGATGAAAGGAAGGAGAGGGAGGGAGGAAGGGAGGGAGGGAAAGAGTGAGGGACTGAGGGAAAAGAAAAGAAGGAAGGATTAAGAGAGAAAGAGAAAGCGAGAGAAAGGAAGGGAGGAAGGTAGGGGAGGGGAGGGACAAGACGAGACAAAACAGAAAAGAAATTGGACGATAAATGGGAAATCATTATATTATTCTATTTTTATATATGCTCAAACTTTTCCACAACAAAACTAAAAATGAAGGTTTCTTCTACCTTCTGTCTTTCCTTGCAACAGGAGTGAATGGGTTAACCTTTTTCCTCTTATAGACCATACCAACTAAGAGCGTTGCAATTTTAAAACTCTGGTTTCTGCAAAGAAATCAGCACACAGGCTGGGCGCAGTGGCTCCTGCCTGTAATCCTAGCACTTTGGGAGGCCGTGGCAGGTGGATCACCTGAGGTCAGGAGTTTGAGACCAGCTTGGTCAACATGGTGAAACCCCATCTCTACTAAAAACAAAAATTAGCCAGGAGTGGTGGTGCATGCCTGTAAACCCAGCTACTCAGGAGGCTGAAACAGAAGAATAGTTTGAACCTGGGAGACGGAGGCTGAAGTGAGTTGAGATGGTGCCACTGCACTGCATTCCAGCCTAGGCAACAGAGCGAGACTCCGTCAAAAAAAAAAAAAAAAAAAAAAGAAGTCAGCACACAGAGGACAAGGTCCTAAAAATATATTTCCTTTAAAAACAAACTTTCAGCCAGAGTGGTGGTTCACACCAGCACTTTGGGAGGCTGAGGCAGGTGATCACTTGAGGTCAGCAGTTCGAGACCAGTCTGACCAACATGGTGAAACCCTATTTATACTAAAAATACAAAATTAGCGAGTGTGGTGGTGCATGCCTGTAATTCCACCAACTACTTGGGAGGCTGAGGCAGGAGAATCACTTGAACCTGGGAGGCAGAGGCTGCAGTGATCCAAGACTGCATTATTGCACTCCAGCCTGGGTGACAAGAGCAAAACTCTGTTTCAAAAAAAAAATACTTTCTAAGTGGAAAATTTAAACATTTATCAGATGACAAAATATATGTTTATTTATTTATTTTCAGAGTACTTCGTAACTGTGACTTTTATGCAAGACCTCACCTTCAGCATACCTCAACCAACAGACATCAGTAGCACCTCCCCCTTAAAACTCCAGATGGTGGCATACTACATACTACATACATACTTGAAGACAGAGAATGCCAAAAGTGTGAAATAAATGTGAGGTAAAAGAAAAAGTGGATGTCAGGGAAGATGGTAGAGTAGGAAGCAGCAAGGTTCTATCTATCCACCTAGACAAGTGAGCTGTCAGAATCTGTCTGATACAACTATTTTAAAACTTTGGAAACTATTTGAAGGCTTGCAGCTTCTAGGGGAAGGCCTGGCCAGTAAAGTGAAATTAATTTCAGTTGGCAGCAGCTACCCATGTCTAATCCTTTAAACTCAAGGCTTGCAGCTGTAGTAGCCTCCCTAGAGTGGCCTTTGGTGGCCAAAGTGGCAATAAAGACCTTGCTCTCTAAATAATGGAGATCTTGGGTTCAGACTGCAAATTATTGTTGTGAATCACAGAGTTGCACACACAAATGCAGGCTGGCATTTTTGCAATCCCCACTGACCTGATATGCTTCCAGAGGATTTAAGAAACAGTGCCTACTATTTCCCCTTCTGTTTCTTCCTTTTCCTGCTTTGGGGAATCAGACATTTAAGGGACAAGGATATTTGGCGCAGTGGCTCACGCCTGTAATCCCAGCACTTTAGGGGGCTGAGGTAGGCAGATCACTTGAGGTCGGCAGTTCAAGACCAAGCCTGGCCAACATGGGGAAGCCCCACCTCTATTAAAAATGCAAAAATTAGCCATGTGTGGTGGCAGGCACCCATAATCCCAGCTACTTGGGAGGCTGAGACAGAAGAATTACTCAAACCTGGGAGGAGGTTGCAGTGAGCCGAGATGATGCCACTGCACTCCAGCCTGGGTGACAGTGAGACTCCATCTCAAAAACAAAACAAAATAAAAGTGAAGCAAATGCACACATGGGGAATTTAGAAAGTCACTACACAAGGCCAGGGAAGACATGGGCTCAGAAAAAAATATGAGAAGCTCTTCAGTTTATATATACCTTAGGCTAATTCCTGGACTAGTGACACCCTACAACAATAAGAAAACAAAACCAAAACAACAACCAACAAATCATACAGAAGTGGGAGAATCTGATCCTCAGAGTTATAACACTGTAAAACAACAACAATAATAATAACAACAACAACAAGGAATAAAAAAAAAAAGTAGGCCAGGTACGGTGGCTCACACCTGTAATCCCAGCACTTTGGGAGACCAAGGCGGGTGGATCATGAGATCAGGAGTTTGAGACCGGCCTGGCCAATATGGTGAAACCCTGTCTCTAAAATTAGCTGGGCGTGGTGGCACACACCTATAGTCTCAGCTACTCGGGAGGCTGAGATGGAAGAATCACTTGAACCCAAGAGGCAGAGGTTGCAGTAAGCCAAGATCGTGCCACTGGCACTCCAGCCTGGGTGACAGTGTGAGACTCTGTCTCCAAAAAAATAAAAAAAGGGAAGTATGGTTCAGTCAGTGGAACAAAATAAATAGAAAACATCTATGAATAAGACCAGATGGTGGCATACTACACAAAGACAACTAACATAAAGATGCACAGAGAGCTAAAAGAAAATATGAATGAGTCATGAAAATGACGAACAAATGGAAGTATTGATAAAAAGAAAACAAAATGAAACCAAGAAGAAATTCTAGGATTTGAAAGTATAATAACTGAAATGAAAATTTCACCAGTGAAATTCAAAAGGTTTAAGCAGGCCACAGGAAAAAAATCAGCAAACTTTTTTAAGATAAGACAATTAAAATTACTTGAGTCTCAGGAAGGAAAAGAAGAAAATATTTAAAAAGTGAACAGAACTTAAGGGACATGCAGGATGCCAAAAAGTAGGCCAAAATATGCATCATCCTGGGACCCTGGCATGGCCACACGAGCCCTGCCTAGGCTCTCAGGCCAGTAGCAGCTCTGTACTTCCCTAGGACAGAGCTCCCAAAGGGAGAGGCAAGCTGTCATTTTTGCTGTGCCACAGCCCTCATTGCTGTTACCCTCAGGCTCCAGAGGGTGCACAGTGATTAGCAACTGGAGCAGAATCCCATCAGAGCACAGCTGTCCCACCAAAAGCGGCCAGACTATTTCCCACATGGGTCCCCATTTCTACTTCTCCTTACTGGCCAGAGCCTCCTGACCTAGGACTCCAGCACAACCATCAAGCCTACCTGAACACTTCAGATGAAGGTGGCACATTTCTCTGAGGAGGAAATCTGAGAGAGAACCCATAGCCCCTCCACCATTATAGCTAAAATGGTACCACACTACCCACCCTTGGGCTTGGGAAGGAACACAGGGTCCAGTTGCTACACTGGAACCTCTAGTACACCACAGATACTACATGGAGACAAGCCCAGTCTCTCTACCTTGTGAACCTCCATCTCCAACTCTTCACAAGGCAGGAACCCCTGTGAAGAGCTGTCCCACCCCTAGCTGAGCATTCCTACTGGTAGTGGCTCTGTGCTTCCCTGAGGAAGGGCTCCCAGAGGCAACTGACAGCTCCTATGCCACTGCCACAGCAGCAGTCCTGCACCTGCTGCTCTCAGTCTGAGGAAGAAACAGTGAAGCCTTCACTTGCGCTTCCAGCATGCCACAGTCACCATGTGGACAGAAGCCCAGTCCCTTTTCCCTGTGAGCACCAAACTCCCACTCTTCACCAAGCAGATCCCCTGCCTCAGACCAGCAGTGTAGCCACTTCACCCCTTGGCTGAATATTCCCAGTAGCAGTGGCTCTGTTTCTGAGGTGGAGCAGACAAAGGCAATCCAAAGTCCCTCTGTCACTGCTACTATAGTGGTACTGTCCTTGCTACACTTGGACTGGGGAAGGACCAAAGACCCTGAGTACTTTAGCTGTACCTCCAGCAAGCTGCAGTTGCCATAAGCAGCAGCCGTTTGTCTCCATAGTGACCTCCCTTCCCCCTGCCAGCTCCTCCTGCTCCTCACCAGGCAGGGCCTCCCTCCCCATTTTGGCCACAGGGCAGCCACCCCACCCTGGGCCAACTGCACTGATTGATAGTGGTTCTGCATCTCTTTAGGGTAGAGCCCTGTAGACAAGTGAAAGGCTCTCTGCCACAACCACCACCAAAGTCCCTTCCCCTGTTGCCTCCAAGCTAGGAAGGAAACATAAAACGGGATCACCCCAGAGCTGTGGTGGGCAACCCGGCAGTGCCAAACAGAGATGTGAAGCCAGCACTCAAGTGGGAGAGGAGCCCACATTTTCAGAGCACTGAGGGGCACAGCTGCAATCTTGAGGAAATACAGAGGAGCAACATAGCTACGTAAGAGTATACCTAATGGCCATTACACTTAAGCGCCATCTACCAAACCACAGCCCAAACTTCAACACCAAAAACACTTTATACTAATATACCCCTCTGTGAAACTAGGATCAGAATTCAGATACAAATAAAGACCCTGCAAAAAGCCCTTGACCCTCTGAAAACATCGAGAAAAGTCAACTGATTGTACTCAAATTACACCACAGTTAATGAAACATAAGCTCACAGATGAGAAAGAACCATCACAAGAACTCTGGCAAATCAAAAACCCAGGGTGTCTTCCTTCCTCCAAAAGACTGCACTAGTTTCCCAGCAAGGGCTCCTAAGCAGGCTGAAATGTCAGAAATAGAACTCAGAACATGGATAGGAACAAAGATCATCAAGATTCAGAAAGTTGAAACCCAATCCAAGGAATCTAGTAAAATCCAAGGATTACAGTACAATGACGGAGGAGCTGATAGACAAAATGGCCATTTTAGAAAGAAAGAAACTAAACTGATAAAGCTGAAAAACATACTACAAGAATTTCATAATGCAATTGAAATACAGAACAGACCACGCTGAAGAAAAAAATCTCAGAGCCTAAAGACTGGCTCTCTGAACTCAGTCAGATAAAAATAAAGAAAAAAGAATAAAAATGAATGAACAAAACCTGAGAAACGTGGGATTATGTAGAGAGACAAAATCTACGACTCACTGGCATCACTGAAAGAGGTGGGGAGAAGGCAAGTAACTTGGAAAGCACATTTCAGGATATTGCCCATGAAAACCTCTCCAACCTTGCTAGACAAGCCAGTATTCAAACTCAGGAAATGGGCCAGGTGTGGTGGCTCATGCCTATAATCCCAGTACTTTGGGAGGCTGAGGTGGGTGATCCACTTGAGGCCAGGAGTTCGAGACCACCCTGGCCAAAATGCTGAAACCCTGTTTCTGCTAAAACTACAAAAATTAGCTGGACATAGTGGCACACACCTGTAATCCCAGATACCTGGGAGGCTGAGGCAGGAAAATAGCTTAAGCCCAGGAAACAGAGGTTGCAGTGAGCCAAGATTACGCCACTGAACTCCAACCTACTGGAAGACAGAGTGTGTAAGACTCCATATAAAAAAAAAAAAAAAAAAAGTAGAGGTCTCACATGATGAAAACTACAAACACTGATGGAAGCAAATAAAAAAGAGCTAAATAAATAGAAAGACATATCGTATCACAGATTGGAAGACTAAGCGCAGAAAATTGATATACAGGTTTACTGCAATTCCTATCAAAATCTCAGCAAGATTCTTTTTGTAGATATAGATAAGATTATTCTAAAATTCATACAAACAAAATAGATAAATTAAAAAAAAAACAAGAAATAATCACTCTACCCAACATTAAAGCCTATAAAATATGTATATGTGCATATATATATCTACATATATATATATATATATATCTACATATATATATATATATACAACACTGTGTGGTATTGGGAGAGAAAGAGAAACACAGATCAATGGAATGAAAAAGAAAACCCAAAACAACCCAAAAAATGTGGCCAAGTGACTTTTGACAATGGTACCAAAGAATTCAGTAGAGGAAAGATGGCTTCGACAAATAATGGTGGAACAACTAAACATTCATATGAAAAAAAAAAATGAACCTCACATCTAATACAAAAATTAGCTCAAAAAAGGTCATGAACATAAATGAAAAATGTACAATATAGCACTTTTAGAAGTACATGGCAGAAAATCTTCATGTTCTAAGTATAGGCAAAATTCTCTTCTTTTTTTTTTTGAGACGGAGTTTTGCTCTTGTTACCCAGGCTGGAGTGCAATGGCGCGATCTCGGCTCACCGCAACCTCCGCCTCCTGGGTTCAGGCAATTCTCCTGCCTCAGCCTCCTGAGTAGCTGGGATTACAAGCACGCGCCACCACGCCCAGCTAATTTTTTGTATCTTTAGTAGAGACGGGGTTTCACCATGTTGACCAGGATGGTCTCGATCTCTTGATCTCATGATCCACCCGCCTCAGCCTCCCAAAGTGCTGGGATTACAGGCTTGAGCCACCACGCCCGGCCAGCAAAATTCTTATATTTGACACCAAAAGCACAATCCATAAAAGGAAACACTGATCATTTGGACC